TGCTCGGGCCAGGAGCAGCTGAAGATGGCGATATCATCTAGATACGCGCATGCATACTCCTGGAACCCATTCAATAACCTATCTACCATCCTCTGGAAGGTAGCTGGGGCATTTTTCATCCCGAATGGCATGACCTTAAACTGGTACAGGCCAAACGGGGTGACAAAGGCCGACTTGGGAATAGCGTCCTCTACTAGTGGAATTTGCCAGTACCCTTTACACAGATCTATCGTGGTGAGGTACTGGCCCCTGGCCATTTTGTCTAGGAGCTCGTCTATCCGGGGCATGGGGTGGGCATCTGAGTTTTATCGTTGAGCCGCTGGTAGTCTACACAGAAACGGGTCGTCCCGTTTCGGTACTAGTAATACCGGAGAGGCCCAGGTGCTGTCGGAGTGCTCTATCACTCCTAACTGAAGCATTTCGTCAATTTCCTTCCACATACTTTCTTTGCCGGCTTCTGGTATGCGGTAAGGAGTTTGTCGAAGAGGGGTCTGATCTAAGGTTTCTACCTTGTGCATGGCTAACGGGGTATAGCCAGGTAGATTGGAAAACGTGGCTCCCTTTTCCTGGAGTAACGTTTGCACTTGGGTTCGCTCCTGGGGATTTAATCGCTCTCCTAACTGTACTTCTCCCAGATCGCCGCTCTGGCCCTCTTGGTCTAGGAGATCTGGGAGGGGTAGATTATCAAAATCCTCGGTGGCTGGGGCACAGATTGCGGTCACCTCCTCAGTGCGCTCGTGGTACGGCTTGAGCATGTTCACATAGAGCATGCGTTTACCTCCCGCGCCTGTAACCGGGCCGATCACATAGGTGGTATCACAGATCTGTTCTACCACCTTGTATGGGCCCTGCCAGGAAGCTTGCAGCTTATCTTTGTGGACTGGTCGCAAGATAAGTACTTTTTCCCCCCCTGAAAGCTGCGGTCCCTGGCTCCCTTATCATACCAACTGCGCTGTCGTTGCTGGGCTACCTGGAGATTGTCTCGGATGGTCTGGGTCAGCATCTCCAGGCGTTCTCTGAACTCGAGCACATAGGGTATGATGGCGGTGCCATTAATTGTCTCTTCTACCTACCAGTGTTCCGTTATTAAGTCAAGGGGTCCCCTCACTCTCCTTCCGAAAAACAATTCGAACAGAGAGAACCCGGTGGATTCTTGGGGCACCTCCCGATACGCAAACAATAAGTGGGGTAGAAACCTTTCCCAGTCCTTCTGAGTGTCTATGAACGTACGGATCATCTGTTTAAGTGTTCCGTTAAACCGTTCACAGAGCCCATTGGACTGGGGGTGATATGCGGAGTTCAGGATTTGCTGTACCCCACATATCTTCCAGAGCTGATGCGTTACTTCAGCGGTAAACTGAGTGCCCCTATCCGAAATAATCTCCCGGGGAAATCCTACCCGGGTGAATATTCGCATCAGGGCCTCGGCTACTGTTTCAGCATGGACGTTGGTTAACGCTACTGCCTCTGGGTATCTGGTGGCGTAATCCACCACGGTCAAGACATATTTCTTGCCGGACGGGCTGGGCTTTGCTTAAGGTCCTATGATGTCTACTGCCACCCCACTGAAGGGTTCCTCAATTATGGGCAGAGTCCGAAGACGTGCTTTGTATTGGTCTCCCCTCTTCCCTACTCTTTGGCAGGTATCACAGGTCTGGCAATATCGCTTAACGTCCTGTGGAATACCTGGCCAAAAGAAGTTCTGGGTCAGCCAGTGTTTAGTACGGCTGATTCCTAAGTGTCCAGACGGGGATATCATGGGCGATCCGCCATACCTCTAACCTATACTTTCGAGGCACTATTAGTTGCTTAATGAGTAAAGGTATAGATCCAGACACTACCTTTTCTGCATGCCAGTACAGTAGTCCTTTGTCCCAGATATACCTTTCCTCGTCTAATCCTGCCTGATCTTTATCGATACGGTCCAACGTGTTAACCTGGGTGGCTTCCAACCACCCCTTCGCAGCTCGCTGTAGCTGATGTGCCCACTCTACATGGGCTTTTTAATGTCCCGGAACTTCATGCGGTATGCGGGCTAAACCCGCCTGTTTGACTTTGTTATAGTCCCTACTGTCTAAATCCGGTACCGCCCGGTACGCTTCTGCGGCACGACCGGATAATCTCCCTGCTAGTAGGGGTACCCGATCTGTCTCGCTGATGTCCTGTAGTAGACACAGCCTCTCAAAGTCCTGTAAGTAGTCGTCCACGCCACCGTCAGCCTCCGAATAGCTTTTGAAGGCTTGGTAGGGAATTTTGACTTTCCCTGGGAGAATATTGACCGGTGTCGTGGCTCTTTCTCCGGCTTGCTGATTCCTCTACGCCCTTCTGACCATGATGTATTCCTGCACATCTGCGAAGAGCCTGTTGACCAACTCTGCAGCTGGTAGCTCTGGGAATAGAGCCATTCTGATCCTGAATTCGGTTGCAAATTCATTTTGTTCTTCCTCCATTGGAGGTGCTGCCTCCTTCCATCAGTTCTGTAATTAGGACAGCCTTTGCCTTGTTACTGGCTATTGCTCCTCTTGCTTCAAGCAACTCCTTTAGTGTGCTTCGTTTTAACAGGGCATAATTTGTTCCCATTCACAGGCCGTTTGCGGGTTTCCACGTGTTCCTGGCTCCGGTTTCATCCGAATGGGTTAACTCCCGAATTGCTGCTCCTTCTCCTCTATTCGTTTCAATTTCTGCCAACCGTTGCTTTGCTGTGTAGTTTCAATCCCGTCGCTTGCCACCAACTATAGCGGAGAGGTTGTATAATCCACAGTATCTCAGCTGGGTAACAGGAATAGCATAAAATAATCCAAGGAACTGAATACAGTTTCTCTGCTATGTTTATAAAAAAAATGGTTAATCCTAGAGGGACCTGGCACCCAGACCACTTCATTAAGCTGAAGTGGTCTGGGTGCTTAGAGTGGTCCTTTAACACCTGGGTAGGCCTCTGCTTATTTGCAAACAATAGCTAATTTAAACAGCAATCAATAGCAAGTAGCTAACTATTCAAATCAAATGCCTTATAATTACCAACAGGAATTCAAACCTTGTGCAATCAGTAACCTTTTCCTACAGATGAATCTTACCTGTAACAGTCAGTGTTTCTATTAGCAGTGATATCGCAGTTTATAATAATCCTGTCAGTGATTTTACAGTTGATAACCCTGTAAGTGATGTCACAGTTTATAATAAAGCTGTCAGTGTATATATTAGCAGTGATTTTGCAGTTTATAATAACCCTGTCAGTGGTTATATTAGAGATATCGCAGTTTATAATAATCCTTTTAGTGTTTCTATTAGCAGTGACATCACAGTTTATAATAACCCTGTCTATGTTTCTATTAGCAGTGATATCGCAGTTTATAATAACCCTGTCAGTGATGTCAAAGTTTATAATAATCCTGTCAGTGTTTCTATTAGCAATGATATCACAGTTTATAATAACCCTGTCAGTGTTTCTATTAGCAGTGATATCGCAGTTTATAATAACTCGGCCAGTGTTTATATTAGTAGTGATATCACAGTTTATAATAATCCTGTCAGTGTTTCTATTAGCAATGATATCACAGTTTATAATAACCCTGTCAGTGTTTCTATTAGCAATAATATCACAGTTTATAATAACCCAGCCAGTGTTTATATTAGTAGTGATATCACAGTTTATAATAATCCTGTCAGTGTTTTTATTAGCAGCAAAATCACAGTTTATAATAACAATGTCAGTGTTTCTATTAGCAGTGACATCACAGTTTATAATAACCCTGTCTATGTTTCTAGTAGCAGTGATATCGCAGTTTATAATAATCCTGTCAGTGATGTCACAGTTTATAATATTCCTGTCATTGTTTCTATTAGTAGTGATATCGCAGTTTATAATAATCCTGTCAGTGATGTCACATTTCATAATAGCCGTGTAAGTGATGTCACAGTTTATAATAATCCTGTCAGTGTTTCTATTAGTAGTTATATAGCAGTTTATAATAATCCTGTCAGTGTTTCTATTAGTAGTGATATAGCAGTTTATAATAATCCTGTCAGTGATGTCACATTTTATAATAATCCTGTCAGTGTTTCTATTAGTAGTGATATAGCAGTTTATAATAATCCTGTCAGTGATGTCACATTTTATAATAATCCTGTCAGTGTTTCTATTAGCAGTGATATCACAGTTTATAATAATCCTGTCAGTGTTTCTATTAGCAGCGATTTCGCAGTTTATAATAATTCTGTCAGTGTTTCTATTAATAGCAATATTGCAGATTATAATAATCCTGTAAGTGATGTCACAGATTATAATAATCCTGTCAGTGTTTCTATTAGTAGTGATATCGCAGTTTATAATAATGCTGTCAGTAATGTCACAGTTTATAATAACCCTGTGAGTGATGTCACAGTTTATAATAACCCTCTCAGTGTTTCTATTAGCAGTGATATCGCAGTTCATAATAATCCTGTCAGTGTTTCTATTAGCAGTGATATCGGTTTATAATAATCCTGTCAGTGTTTCTATTAGCAGTGATATCACAGTTCATAATAATCCTGTCAGTGTTTCTATTAGCAGTGATATTAGTTTATAATAACCCTGTCAGTGTTTCTATTTGTAATGATATAGCAGTTTATAATAATCCTGTCAGTGTTTCTATTAGCAGTGATATCACCGTTTATAATAACCCTGTCAGTGTTTCTATTAGCAGTGATTTCACAGTTTATAATAATCCTGTCAGTGAAGTCACAGTTTATAATAATCCTGTCAGTGTTTCTATTAGTAGTGATATAGCTGTTTTTCAATAATCCTGTCAGTAAAGTCACATTTTATAATAATCCTGTCAGTGTTTCTATTAGCAGTGATATCGCAGTTTATAATAATCCTGTCAGTGTTTCTATTAGCAGCGATATCGCAGTTTATAATAATTCTGTCAGTGTTTCTATTAATAGCGATATTGCAGTTTATAATAATCCTGTCAGTGTTTCTATTAGTACCAATATCGCAGTTAATAATAATGCTGTCAGTAATGTCAGTTTATAATAACCCTGTGAGTGATGTCACAGTTTATAATAGTCCTGTCAGTGTTTCTATTAGCAGTGATGTCACAGTTTATAATAACCCTGTCAGTGATATCACAGTTTATAATAATCCTGTCAGTGTTTCTATTAGCAGTGATATCACAGTTTATAATAATCCTGTCTGTGTTTCTATTAGCAGTGATATCAGTTTATAATAATCCTGTCAGTGTTTCTATTAGGAGTGATATCGCAGTTTATAATAACCCTGTCATTGTTTCTATTAGCAGTGATATCGCAGTTTATAATAACCCTGTCAGTGATGTCATAGTTTATAATAATCCTGTCAGTGTTTCTATTAGCAGTGATATCACAGTTTATAATAACCCTGTCAGTGTTTCTATTAGCAATGATATCACAGTTTATAATAATCCTGTCAGTGTTTCTATTAGCAGTGATATCGCAGTTTATAATAACCCTGTCAGTGTTTCTATTAGCAATAATATCACAGTTTATAATAATCATGTCAGTTTTTCTAGTAGCAGTGATATCGCAGTTTATAATAATCCTGTCAGTGTTTCTATTAGCAATGATATCACAGTTTATAATAACCCTGTCAGTGTTTCTATTAGCAGTGATATCGCAGTTTATAATAACCCTGTCAGTGTTTCTATTAGCAATAATATCACAGTTTATAATAACCCAGCCAGTGTTTATATTAGTAGTGATATCACAGTTTATAATAATCCTGTCAGTGTTTTTATTAGCAGCAAAATCACAGTTTATAATAACCCTGTCAGTGTTTCTATTAGCAGTGACATCACAGTTTATAATAACCCTGTCTATGTTTCTAGTAGCAGTGATATCGCAGTTTATAATAATCCTGTCAGTGTTTCTATTAGCAGTGATATCACAGTTTATAATAATCCTGTCAGTGTTTCTATTAGCAGTGATATCACAGTTTATAATAACCCTGTCAGTTTTTCTATTAGTAGTGATATAGCAGTTTATAATAATCCTGTCAGTGATGTCACAGTTTATAATAATCCTGTCAGTGTTTCTATTAGCAGCGATATCACAATTTATAATAATTCTGTCAGTGTTTCTGTTAATAGCGATATTGCAGTTTATAATAATCCTGTCAGTGATGTCACAGTTTATAATATTCCTGTCATTGTTTCTATTAGTAGTGATATCGCAGTTTATAATAATCCTGTCAGTGATGTCACATTTCATAATAGCCGTGTAAGTGATGTCACAGTTTATAATAATCCTGTCAGTGTTTCTATTAGCAGTGATATCGGTTTATAATAATCCTGTCAGTGTTTCTATTAGTAGTTATATAGCAGTTTATAATAATCCTGTCAGTGTTTCTATTAGTAGTGATATAGCAGTTTATAATAATCCTGTCAGTGATGTCACATTTTATAATAATCCTGTCAGTGTTTCTATTAGTAGTGATATAGCTGTCTATAAAAATCCTGTCAGTAAAGTCACATTTTATAATAATCCTGTCAGTGTTTCTATTAGCAGTGATATCACAGTTTATAATAATCCTGTCAGTGTTTCTATTAGCAGCGATTTCGCAGTTTATAATAATTCTGTCAGTGTTTCTATTAATAGCAATATTGCAGATTATAATAATCCTGTAAATGATGTCACAGATTATAATAATCCTGTCAGTGTTTCTATTAGTAGAGATATCGCAGTTTATAATAATGCTGTCAGTAATGTCACAGTTTATAATAACCCTGTGAGTGATGTCACAGTTTATAATAACCCTCTCAGTGTTTCTATTAGCAGTGATATCGCAGTTCATAATAATCCTGTCAGTGTTTCTATTAGCAGTGATATCGGTTTATAATAATCCTGTCAGTGTTTCTATTAGCAGTGATATCACAGTTCATAATAATCCTGTCAGTGTTTCTATTAGCAGTGATATTAGTTTATAATAACCCTATCAGTGTTTCTATTTGTAATGATATAGCAGTTTATAATAATCCTGTCAGTGTTTCTATTAGCAGTGATATCACCGTTTATAATAACCCTGTCAGTGTTTCTATTAGCAGTGATTTCACAGTTTATAATAATCCTGTCAGTGAAGTCACAGTTTATAATAATCCTGTCAGTGTTTCTATTAGTAGTGATATAGCTGTTTTTCAATAATCCTGTCAGTAAAGTCACATTTTATAATAATCCTGTCAGTGTTTCTATTAGCAGTGATATCGCAGTTTATAATAATCCTGTCAGTGTTTCTATTAGCAGCGATATCGCAGTTTATAATAATTCTGTCAGTGTTTCTATTAATAGCGATATTGCAGTTTATAATAATCCTGTAAGTGATGTCACAGATTATAATAATCCTGTCAGTGTTTCTATTAGTACTAATATCGCAGTTAATAATAATGCTGTCAGTAATGTCAGTTTATAATAACCCTGTGAGTGATGTCACAGTTTATAATAGTCCTGTCAGTGTTTCTATTAGCAGTGATGTCACAGTTTATAATAACCCTGTCAGTGATATCACAGTTTATAATAATCCTGTCAGTGTTTCTATTAGCAGTGATATCACAGTTTATAATAATCCTGTCTGTGTTTCTATTAGCAGTGATATCAGTTTATAATAATCCTGTCAGTGTTTCTATTAGGAGTGATATCGCAGTTTATAATAACCCTGTCAGTGTTTCTATTAGCAGCGATTTCGCATTTTATAATAATCCTGTCAGTGTTTCTATTAGCAGCGATGTGTTTCTATTAGCAGTGATATCACAGTTCATAATAATCCTGTCAGTGTTTCTATTAGCAGTGATATAGCAGTTTATAATAATCCTGTCAGTGTTTCTATTAATAGTGATATCGCAGTTTATAATCCTGTCAGTGTTTCTATTAATAGCGATATTGCAGTTCATAATAATCCTGTAAGTGATGTCACAGTTTATAATAATCCTGTCAGTGTTTCAATTAGTAGTGATGTCACAGTTTATAATAATCCCTGTCAGTGTTTCTATTAGTAGTGATATAGCAGTTTATAATAATCCTGTCAGTGTTTCTATTAGCAGTGATATAGCAGTTTATAATTATCCTGTCAGTGATGTCACAGTTTATAATAACCCTGTAAGTGATTTCACAGTTTATAATAATCCTGTCAGTGTTTCTATTAGTAGTGATATTGCAGTGTCAGTGTTTCTATCGCAGTTTATAATAATCCTGTCAGTGTTTCTATTAATAGCGATATTGCAGTTTATAATAATCCTGTAAGTGATGTCACAGTTTATAATAACCCTGTAAGTGATTTCACAGTTTATAATAATCCTGTCAGTGTTTCTATTAGTAGTGATATTGCAGTTTATAATAATCCTGTCAGTGTTTCTATTAGCAGCGATATCGCAGTTTATAATAATCATGTCAGTGATGTCACAGTTTATAATAACCCTGTAAGTGATTTCACAGTTTATAATAATCCTGTCAGTGTTTCTATTAGTAGTGATATTGCAGTTTATAATAATCCTGTCAGTGTTTCTATTAATAGTGATATCGCAGTTTATAATAATCCTGTCAGTGTTTCTATTAATAGCGATATTGCAGTTTATAATAATCCTGTAAGTGATGTCACAGTTTATAATAATCCTGTCAGTGTTTCTATTAGCAGTGATATCAGCAGTTTATAATAATCCTGTCAGTGTTTCTATTAGCAGTGATATCGTCGTTTATAATAATCCTGTCAGTGATGTCACAGTTTATAATAATCCTGTCAGTGTTTCTATTAGCAGTGATATCGCAGTTCATAATAATCCTGTCAGTGTTTCTATTAGCAGTGATATCGCAGTTTATAATAATCCTGTCAGTGTTTCTATTAGCAGTGATATCACATTTTATAATAATCCTGTCAGTGTTTCTATTACTAGTGATATCGCAGTTTATAATAACCCTGTCAGTGTTTCTATTAGTAGTTATATAGCAGTTTATAATAATCCTGTCAGTGTTTCTATTAGTAGTTATATAGCAGTTTATAATAATCCTGTCAGTGATGTCACAGTTTATAATAACCCTGTCAGTGTTTCTATTAGTAGTTATATAGCAGTTTATAATAATCCTGTCAGTGTTTCTATTAGCAGTGATATAGCAGTTTATAATAATCCTGTCAGTGTTTCTATTAGCAGCGATATCGCAGTTTATAATAATCCTGTCAGTGATGTCACAGTTTATAATAACCCTGTAAGTGATGTCACAGTTTATAATAACCCTGTCAGTGTTTTTATTAGTAGTGATATAGCAGTTTATAATAATCCTGTCAGTGTTTCTACTAGCAGTGATATCGCAGTTTATAATAATCCTGTAAGTGATGTCACAGTTTATAACAATCCTGTCAGTGTTTCTACTAGCAGTGATATCGCAGTTTATAATAATCCTGTAAGTGATGTCACAGTTTATAATAATCCTGTCAGTGTTTCTATTAGTAGTGATATCGCAGTTGATAATAACCCTGTCAGTGTTTCTATTAGTAGTGATATCGCAGTTTATAATAACCCTGTCAGTGTTTCTATTAGCAGCGATATCGCAGTTTATAATAACCCTGTCAGTGTTTCTATTAGCAGTGATATCACAGTTTATAATAATCCTGTCAGTGATGTCACAGTTTATAATAACTCTTTCAGTGATGTCACAGTTTATAATAACTCTGTCAGTGTTTCTATTAGTAGTGATATCACAGTTTATAATAATCCTCTCAGTGTTTCTATTAGTAGTGATATCGCAGTTGATAATAACCCTGTCAGTGTTTCTATTAGCAGCGATATCACAGTTTATAATAATCCTGCCAGTGATGTCACAGTTTATAATAACTCTTTCAGTGATGTCACAGTTTATAATAATCCTGTCAGTGTTTCTATTAGCAGTGATATAGCCGTTTATAATAATCCTGGCAGTGTTTCTATTAGCAGTGATATCACAGTTTATAATAACCCTGTCAGTGTTTCTATTAGCAGTGATATCACAGTTTATAATAATCCTGTCAGTGTTTCTATTAGTAGTGATATAGCAGTTTATAATAATCGTGTCAGTGTTTCTATTAGCAGTGATATCACAGTTTATAATAACCCTGTCAGTGTTTCTATTAGTAGTGATATTGCAGTTTATAATAATCCTGTCAGTGTTTCTATTAGCAGTGATATCACAGTTTATAATAATCCTGTCAGTGTTTCTATTAGCAGTGATATAGCCGTTTATAATAATCCTGGCAGTGTTTCTATTAGCAGTGATATCACAGTTTATAATAACCCTGTCAGTGTTTCTATTAGCAGTGATATAGCCGTTTATAATAATCCTGGCAGTGTTTCTATTAGTAGTAATGTCACAGTTTATAATAATCCTGGCAGTGTTTCTATTAGTAGTGATGTCACCGTTTATAATAACCCTGTCAGTGTTTCTATTAGTAGTGATATAGCAGTTTATAATAATCCTGGCAGTGTTTCTATTAGCAGTGATATAGTAGTTTATAATAATCCTGTCAGTGATGTCACAGTTTATAATAATCCTGTCAGAGTTTCTATTAGCAGCGATATCGCAATTTATAATAATTCTGTCAGTGTTTCTGTTAATAGCGATATTGCAGTTAATAATAATCCTGTCAGTGATGTCACAGTTTATAATAATCCTGTCAGTGTTTTTATTAGTAGTGATATTGCAGTTTATAATAATCCTGTCAGTGTTTCTATTATCATTCATATCACAGTTTATAATAATCCTGTCAGTGTTTCTATTAGCAGTGATATCACAGTTTATAATAACCCTGTCAGTGTTTCTATTACCAGTGATATAGCCGTTTATAATAATCCTGTCAGTGATGTTACAGTTTATAATAATCCTGTCAGTGTTTCTATTAGTAGTGATATAGCGGTTTATAATAATCCTGACAGTGTTTCTATTAGCAGTGATATCACAGTTTATAATAATCCTGTCAGTGTTTCTATTAGTAGTGATATAGCAGTTTATAATAATCCTGGCAGTGTTTCTATTAGCAGTGATATCACAGTTTATAATAATCCTGTCAGTGGTGTCACAGTTTATAATAATCCTGTCAGTGTTTCTATTAGTAGTAATGTCACAGTTTATAATAATCCTGTCAGTGTTTCTATTAGTAGTGATGTCACCGTTTATAATAACCCTGTCAGTGTTTCTATTAGTAGTGATATAGCAGTTTATAATAATCCTGTCAGTGTTTCTATTAGCAGTGATATAGTAGTTTATAATAATCCTGTCAGTGTTTCTGTTAATAGCGATATTGCAGTTAATAATAATCCTGTCAGTGTTTTTATTAGTAGTGATATTGCAGTTTATAATAATCCTGTCAGTGTTTCTATTATCATTCATATCACAGTTTATAATAATCCTGTCAGTGTTTCTATTAGCAGTGATATCACAGTTTATAATAACCCTGTCAGTGTTTCTATTACCAGTGATATAGCCGTTTATAATAATCCTGTCAGTGATGTTACAGTTTATAATAATCCTGTCAGTGTTTCTATTAGTAGTGATATAGCGGTTTATAATAATCCTGACAGTGTTTCTATTAGCAGTGATATCACAGTTTATAATAATCGTGTCAGTGTTTCTATTAGCAGTGATATCACAGTTTATAATAACCCTGTCAGTGTTTCTATTAGTAGTGATATAGCAGTTTATAATAATCCTGTCAGTGTTTCTATTAGCAGTGATATCACAGTTTATAATAATCCTGTCAGTGTTTCTATTAGCAGTGATATAGCCGTTTATAATAATCCTGGCAGTGTTTCTATTAGCAGTGATATCACAGTTTATAATAACCCTGTCAGTGTTTCTATTAGCAGTGATATAGCCGTTTATAATAATCCTGGCAGTGTTTCTATTAGTAGTAATGTCACAGTTTATAATAATCCTGGCAGTGTTTCTATTAGTAGTGATGTCACCGTTTATAATAACCCTGTCAGTGTTTCTATTAGTAGTGATATAGCAGTTTATAATAATCCTGGCAGTGTTTCTATTAGCAGTGATATAGTAGTTTATAATAATCCTGTCAGTGATGTCACAGTTTATAATAATCCTGTCAGAGTTTCTATTAGCAGCGATATCGCAATTTATAATAATTCTGTCAGTGTTTCTGTTAATAGCGATATTGCAGTTAATAATAATCCTGTCAGTGATGTCACAGTTTATAATAATCCTGTCAGTGTTTTTATTAGTAGTGATATTGCAGTTTATAATAATCCTGTCAGTGTTTCTATTATCATTCATATCACAGTTTATAATAATCCTGTCAGTGTTTCTATTACCAGTGATATAGCCGTTTATAATAATCCTGTCAGTGATGTTACAGTTTATAATAATCCTGTCAGTGTTTCTATTAGTAGTGATATAGCGGTTTATAATAATCCTGACAGTGTTTCTATTAGCAGTGATATCACAGTTTATAATAACCCTGTCAGTGTTTCTATTAGTAGTAATATAGCAGTTTATAATAATCCTGTCAGTGTTTCTATTAGCAGTGATATCACAGTTTATAATAATCCTGTCAGTGTTTCTATTAGCAGTGATATAGCAGTTTATAATAATCCTGTCAGTGTTTCTATTAATAGTGATATCGCAGTTTATAATCCTGTCAGTGTTTCTATTAATAGCGATATTGCAGTTTATAATAATCCTGTAAGTGATGTCACAGTTTATAATAATCCTGTCAGTGTTTCAATTAGTAGTGATGTCACAGTTTATAATAACCCTGTCAGTGTTTCTATTAGTAGTGATATAGCAGTTCATAATAATCCCGTCAGTGTTTCTATTAGCAGTGATATAGCAGTTTATAATTATCCTGTCAGTGATGTCACAGTTTATAATAACCCTGTAAGTGATTTCACAGTTTATAATAATCCTGTCAGTGTTTCTATTAGTAGTGATATTGCAGTTTATAATAATCCTGTCAGTGTTTCTATTAATAGTGATATCGCAGTTTATAATAATCCTGTCAGTGTTTCTATTAATAGCGATATCGCAGTTTATAATAATCATGTCAGTGATGTCACAGTTTATAATAACCCTGTAAGTGATGTCATAGTTTATAATAATCCTGTCAGTGTTTCTATTAGTAGTGATATCACAGTTTATAATAATCCTGTCAGTGTTTCTATTAGCAGTGATATCACAGTTTATAATAATCCTGTCAGTGTTTCTATTAGCAGTGATGTCACAGTTTATAATAATCCTGTCAGTGTTTCTATTAGCAGTTGTTACGACACGTACCGTCGGGTAGATGAAGCCGCCGTTTAGGCAATAATCCCCTTCTCCAGAAATGCAGGTTTAAATCCAGCCGATCGCCAAACTCCTGAACGAAGTCCGCGAACACGGCAACTCCCGATCAGCCAAACAGTCGAACGCCTTCCACAGCTAGAAATAACGAAAGCGCTGTCCCAATAATAATTCCCCCCACAAACGAGACCAAGCTCCGTCTTGAGGGTCAAATGAAGATCTGTTTAATGGGGGCTACCTGCCCGGTATTTATGCAGGTCTCCACAAGGTGGACACTCCCCGAGGGGACCTTGTGGAAGACTGTAACACATATTGTACAGTAGCCAATCGCAGTGGCTTCAATAATAGCCCTTCCCATCTTGCCCATAATTCCGTCTTCTTTACCTTGGAGATAATTGGTGAAGAAACCTAATTATCTCCCAAGGTAGAGACCATCGCCATCTTAAATTACAGTGACAAAAGGACATTAAAATACACAACTACAGAAATACCGAATGCATATGGTTCGTGTAACGTATCCCCAGACAGCCTGGATCTGAGGGCATGTTTTCACCGAATAGCGCTCAGATCCGATGTATCTAGTCGAATCGCCATGGAGTCAAAGTCTTTCACCAGTCCTTCGGTATACGAATGACTCCATGGGATGGCTGTCGGGGTAAAAGTCCATACGACTGAACAAAACTCCCGAACGACCGACGTTCGCATGCCTTGTCGAAAAGGAAGGTAGGCAGCAGCTTTTCAGCGGTGTTCGGTAGTTTAAGTGTCCGTTTTTAGGTCCATACAGTGTTCGTATGTCCCAAAATGGCCGCTGCCTCGTGGTCGACATGCGAACGACGACCACCCGGACGAATGGAATGGAGAGGTGTCTGCGGTTAACCACAACGTTCTAATTGGGGCCAAGAGGTTAACCAGCAGCACACTCCTCTCCTGGGTGGTCGTTCGTTCGGTAGTTTCAATCGGTAGTTTGCAAATTACACGAACGGGGTTATATGAACAGGCAATTCAGCGAACAAAGGGAAACAGACGAACCAGCAATACAGATGAATCTGTCACACGGCTCCCCCCTTGTGGGACACTCCGGCAGACCAGGCTTGACCCTTTAGCGGGTCAACGTGGGGATGACCGGACTAAGATGGGGTGAGGATGTCGGTTTGCCTGGACAATCCATCTGCGTTCCCATTCTGCTTGCCGGGTCGATAAGTGATGGTGAAGTTATATGGCTGTAGTGCTAAACTCCACCTCAGCAGTCTGCCATTGTCTCCAGAGACCCGGTTAAGCCAGACAAGGGGATTGTGGTCCGTCACAAGGGAAAATTCCTGTCCATATAAATACGGGCTTAGCTTCTTCAATGCCCACACCAGGGCCAAACATTCCTTCTCCACTGCCGCATAACTCACTTCTCTGGGTAACAACTTTCTGCTGAGATATGCGACAGGGTGCTCTCCTCCATCTTCCCCGACCTGGCTCAGCACAGCCCCCAGTCCATACATGGAAGCATCTGTATGGACGAGAAAACGTTTGTTAGGGACTGGGGCAGCCAGGACAGGGGCATTCACAAGAGCATGTTTGAGTGCTTGGAACGCAGCTTCACAAGCCGGAGACCACAGGACCTGCTTAGGAAGATTTTTCTTGGTCAAGTCAGTCAGGGGTTTAGCAATAGAGCTGTAGTCGGGGACGAAGCGTCTATAGTACCCTGCTGTCCCTAGGAAGGCTAACACCTGGGTCTTGGTGATAGGTGTGGGCCAGTTGGCAACTGCCTCTATCTTGGCTGGCTCTGGTCTCTGGCTCCCACACCCTACTCTGTGACCCAGGTACTGCACTTCAGCCATGCCTAAATGGCACTTCTCTGGCTTCAATGTCAGGCCAGCGGCCCGAATCTTGTCCAGCACTACCCCTACATGTACTAGGTGTTCTTCCCAGGACTCACTGTAGATCGCAATGTCATCCAGGTATGCACAAGCAAATTCCTGGAATCCATCAAGAAGTCTATCCACCATGCGCTGGAAGGTAGCCGGGGCATTCTTCATCCCAAATGGCATGACCTTAAATTGGTACAGGCCAAATGGGGTGACGAAGGCCGACTTGGGGATAGCATCCTCGGCCAGGGGAATCTGCCAGTAGCCTTTGCACAGGTCTATGGTGGTCAGATAGCGTCCCCTGGCAATGCGATCTAACAATTCGTCTACCCGGGGCATCGGGTAGGCGTCAGTGGTGGTCCGCTCATTGAGACGCCTGTAGTCCACACAGAATCGGGTGGTCCCATCCTTCTTGGGCACCAGGACTACAGGCGAGGCCCAAGGGCTATCGGAGTGTTCGATGACCCCCAGCTGGGTCATCTCCTGTATCTCTTTCCGCATTCCTTCCCGGACTGCTTCAGGGATACGGTAAGGGGGTTGTCGCAGGGGGTTCTGTCCAGGGGTTTCTACCTTGTGTACAGCTAGGGTAGTGTAACCAGGTTCTTGGGAGAAGGTCGCCTGCTTCTCCCACAAAAGCTGTCTTGCCTGGCCCTTCTCGGTAGCGCTCAATCTGTCCCCTAGCTGTACTAGGCTAGTAAGATCCGTCTGGGGGTCCCTCTCTAACAGGTCTGGCAAGGGTAAACTTTCTGTATCATCTGCAGCAGGGGCACATACTGCAGCGACATTCTCCGGTCTCTCCTGATACTCCTTTAGCATGTTCACATGGAAGGATCGCTGGATCCTTTCATCTGAACAGCTGGCTATAAGGTAGGTAGTATCACATATCTGTGCTAACACCTTATACGGGCCCTGCCAAGATGCCTGCATCTTGTTCGCCTTCACAGGTTTGAGCACTAGTACCTTCTGCCCAACCTGGAAAACTCGCTGTCGGGCACCCCGATCGTACCACCTCTTCTGTCTCCCCTGAGCCACCTGGAGATTCTCCCTTACCATTAGGGACAGTTTCTCCATGCGGTCCCGGAGTTCCAGAACATATGGCACTATGGGGGTCCCTTCCTGCTCTGTCTCCCCCTCCCAGTGGCCTCTAATGAGATCTAGGGGTCCGCGGACCCTTCTCCCATATAGCAACTCAAAGGGGGAGAACCCAGTAGATTCCTGGGGCACCTCTCTGTAGGCAAACAACAGATGAGGCAGGAATCGCTCCCAGTCTCTGCAAGTGTCAGAAAAGGTCCTCAGCATCTGTTTGAGGGTGCCATTAAATCGCTCGCAGAGACCGTTAGTCTGTGGATGGTAAGGTGAGCTAAGCAGCGGTTTAATACCGCACACCTTCCACAGTTGCTGGGTGAGCACAGCGGTGAATTGGGTTCCCTGGTCAGAGAGAATCTCTTGAGGGAACCCGACTCTGGTAAAAATCCTAACCAGGGCATCAGCAACTGTCTCTGCCTCTATATTAGACAGCGCTACTGCCTCTGGATAGCGAGTGGCATAATCCACCACGGTGAGAATATATTTCTTACCGGATGGACTAGCCCTGGCCAGTGGACCCACAATGTCAACGGCTATGCGGGCAAAGGGCTCCCCAATGATAGGCATAGACATAAGCCTAGCTCTTGGGTGGTCCCCCCGCTTTCCTATCCGTTGACATGTGTCACACGTACTGCAGTATGTCCGCACAGCCTGATTGAAGTTTGGCCAAAAAAAGTTCTGCATGATCCTATAGGCTGTGCGGCGGGAACCTAGATGTCCAGCTAACGGAACATCATGCCCTATCCGCAGAATCTCCTGCCGGTATTTCGCGGGCACTACCAGCTGTCGATTCGGCGGAGGGGCAACACTCTTCGGGGAAAGCTTGGGGATCCTATATAACCTGTCCCCCACCCACTCATACCGTTCTCCATCTAATCCTTCCTCTCCAGTATCCGCTCTGTCCCTATACTTCTGGAGGGTCGAGTCTGTCTGAGTTTCCCTCCCAAACTCCTCTGGGGAGTCCCAGTTAACAAAGGTCGGTCCTAGGGTACCAGTCGGGGACTCGGTCCTTACCTGGGTCTCAGCAGCAGGTGGGCTGGTTCCAGCAGCACGGGTCTGGGCACGGGTAGTCACTGGGTTGATAGCGGCAGGTCCCATTGGAGCATAGGCGGACACCAAAGGGGCCAAGTCGTTCCCAAGCAAAACATCAGCCGGTAAGTCTTTCATGACCCCCACATTCACGTGTCCAGAGCCCACCCCCCAATCCAAGTGAACCCGGGCAACCGGTAAGCGGAACACTGCACCTCCCGCCACCCTCACTGCCACAGTATCTCCAGTGTGCTGGTGTTCGGACACAAGGTTCTTCTGGAGCAAGGTCATAGTGGCTCCGGTGTCTCTCAGACCAGTTACCGCTTTGCCATTTAGTTTAACGGTCTGCCTGTGCTGTTGGCGGTTATCCTGCTGCGCTGCTTGTACTGGATCCGCCTCGTGTAATATACCCCAAAATTCCTCCTGCTCAAGACAGTGAGCGGAAGGTGGGGGTGGCTGCTGATTTCCGCCGGCTGGTCTTCTCCACGACTGTGCTTGGTTCGAATTGTTTAATGGGCACTCGGGTCGCTTGTGCCCCAACTGCTTACACCCATAGCAACGGATCGGCTGTGAATAATCAAGGGCGTTGAATCGGGCTGGCTGAACGTAATTGTTCGCTGTTGGCATGGTGGGGGTGCGTTGTGCTGGGTGTTGATACACTGCAGAGGTTGGAGGGGCTGCTGGTTTGTACTCCACTCGGGTAGGGACCTTGGCTGCTGTCTGGTCCAGTTTCCTGGCATCAGTGTACTCATCAGCCAGACGAGCAGCTTCGGGCAAGGTAGCGGGTTTGCGGTCCCTAACCCACTCTCTGACTCCTACAGGTAAGCGGTCAAAACAGTGCTCCAACAAAAATACTTGCAGCACCTCTTCCCCAGTTACCGCTTGGCACCCTGCCATCCAGTGGGCTGCGGTGCGGTGTACTCGGCATGCCCACTCAACATAAGAATCACCAGCCTGCTTGTTAGTGTCCCGGAATCGCCGCCGGTATGCCTCAGGGGTCACAGCGTATCTGGCCAAAAGGGCATCTTTCACTGCCCTGTAGCTGGTAAGTTCCTCCTCTGGGATGGCCCGAAACGCCTCACTGGCCCGGCCGGATAACTTCCCAGAGAGGATGGGGACCCATTCTCCTGCGGGTACCTGGTGCAAGGCACATTGCCTTTCAAAGTCCGCCAGGAACCCATCAATTTCTCCTTCGGCTTCTACAAAGTTCCGAAATGCAGCAAAAGGTACTTTTCTCCTTCCATTATTATTAAACGGTACCTCAGCTGCTGCAGCGCCTCTTCCTTGAAGCGCCTGTTGTGCTGCTACTGCCGCTTGCACTTGCACCACAATATCTGCTGCGGGGTTGGGGCCAAAATGTGCCAGCCTGATCTGAACTGCCCGGTTAAACTGTATCTCCTCGGGTGTTAACTCCAGTATGCCAGGCACATCAGCTCTTCCCGTTCCCTGTGCTGCATCCATTTCCAATAGTATGGCAATAATCTCTCTTTTCTTGAGATTACTCGCTGATCGTCCTCTGCGTTCCAATATATCTTTAAGGGTAGCACGCCTTAACTCCTCATACTGCATTTCCAACCTGGGATGTGTAGCTGGCCTTCTGGGCTGTAGGATTCATCCCGTCGCTTGCCACCAATTGTTACGACACGTACCGTCGGGTAGATGAAGCCGCCGTTTAGGCAATAATCCCCTTCTCCAGAAATGCAGGTTTAAATCCAGCCGATCGCCAAACTCCTGAACGAAGTCCGCGAACACGGCAACTCCCGATCAGCCAAACAGTCGAACGCCTTCCACAGCTAGAAATAACGAAGGCGCTGTCCCAATAATAATTCCCCCACAAACGAGACCAAGCTCCGTCTTGAGGGTCAAATGAAGATCTGTTTAATGGGGGCTACCTGCCCGGTATTTATGCAGGTCTCCACAAGGTGGACACTCCCCGAGGGGACCTTGTGGAAGACTGTAACACATATTGTACAGTAGCCAATCGCAGTGGCTTCAATAATAGCCCTTCCCATCTTGCCCATAATTCCGTCTTCTTTACCTTGGAGATAATTGGTGAAGAAACCTAATTATCTCCCAAGGTAGAGACCATCGCCATGTTAAATTACAGTGACAAAAGGACATTAAAATACACAACTACAGAAATACCGAATGCATATGGTTCGTGTAACGTATCCCCAGACAGCCTGGATCTGAGGGCATGTTTTCACCGAATAGCGCTCAGATCCGATGTATCTAGTCGAATCGCCATGGAGTCAAAGTCTTTCACCAGTCCTACGGGATACGAATGACTCCATGGGATGGCTGTCGGGGTAAAAGTCCATACGACTGAACAAAACTCCCGAACGACCGACGTTTGCATGCCTTGTCGAAAAGGAAGGTAGGCAGCAGCTTTTCAGCGGTGTTCGGTAGTTTAAGTGTCCGTTTTTAGGTCCATACAGTTTGTACCGAACACCGCTCTGTGTTCGTATGTCCCAAAATGGCCGCTGCCTCGTGGTCGACATGCGAACGACGACCACCCGTACGAATGGAATGGAGAGGTGTCTGCGGTTAACCACAACGTTCTAATTGGGGCCAAGAGGTTAACCAACAGCACACTCCTCTCCTGGGTGGCCGTTCGTTCGGTAGTTTCAATCGGCATTTTGCAAATACACGAACGGGGGTATATGAACAGGCAATTCCGCGAACAAAGGGAAACAGACGAACCAACAATGCAGATGAATCTGTCACAGCAGTGATATCACATTTTATAATAATCCTGTCAGTGTTTCTATTACTAGTGATATCGCAGTTTATAATAACCCTGTCAGTGTTTCTATTAGTAGTTATATAGCAGTTTATAATAATCCTGTCAGTGTTTCTATTAGTAGTTATATAGCAGTTTATAATAATCCTGTCAGTGTTTCTATTAGCAGTGATATCGCAGTTTGTAATAATCCTGCCAGTGATGTCACAGTTTATAATAACCGTCAGTGATGTCACAGTTTATAATAATCCTGTCAGTTTTTCTACTAGCAGTGATATCGCAGTTGATAATAACCCTGTCAGTGTTTCTATTAGTAGTGATATCGCAGTTTATAATAACCCTGTCAGTGATTCTATTAGCAGCGATATCGCAGTTTATAATAACCCTGTCAGTGTTTCTATTAGCAGTGATATCACAGTTTATAATAATCCTGTCAGTGATGTCACAGTTTATAATAACTCTGTCAGTGTTTCTATTAGCAGCGATATCACAGTTTATAATAATCCTGCCAGTGATGTCACAGTTTATAATAACTCTTTCAGTGATGTCACAGTTTATAATAACCCTGTCAGTGTTTCTATTAGTAGTTATATCACAGTTTATAATAATCCTGTCAGTGTTTCTATTAGCAGTGATATCACAGTTTATAATAACCCTGTCAGTGTTTCTATTAGCAGTGATATCACAGTTTATAATAATCCTGTCAGTGTTTCTATTAGCAGTGATATCACAGTTTATAATAATCCTGTCAGTGTTTCTATTAGCAGTGATATCACAGTTTATAATAACCCTGTCAGTGATGTCACAGTTTATAATAATCCTGTCAGTGTTTCTATTAGTAGTGATATTGCAGTTTATAATAATCCTGTCAGTGTTTCTATTAGCAGTGATATCACAGTTTATAATAATCCTGTCAGTGTTTCTATTAGCAGTGATATCATAGTTTATAATAATCCTGTCAGTGTTTCTATTAGCAGTGATGTCACAGTTTATAATAATCCTGTCAGTGTTTCTATTAGCAGTGATATCACATTTTATAATAATCCTGTCAGTGTTTCTATTACTAGTGATATCGCAGTTTATAATAACCCTGTCAGTGTTTCTATTAGTAGTTATATAGCAGTTTATAATAATCCTGTCAGTGTTTCTATTAGCAGTGATATCACAGTTTATAATAATCCTGTCAGTGTTTCTATTAGCAGTGATATCGCAGTTTATAATAATCCTGCCAGTGATGTCACAGTTTATAATAACCGTCAGTGATGTCACAGTTTATAATAACCCTGTCAGTGTTTCTATTAGTAGTGATATAGCAGTTTATAATAATCCTGTCAGTCTTTCTACTAGCAGTGATATCGCAGATGATAATAACCCTGTCAGTGTTTCTATTAGTAGTGATATCGCAGTTTATAATAACCCTGTCAGTGTTTCTATTAGCAGCGATATCGCAGTTTATAATAACCCTGTCAGTGTTTCTATTAGCAGTGATATCACAGTTTATAATAATCCTGTCAGTGATGTCACCGTTTATAATAACTCTTTCAGTGATGTCACAGTTTATAATAACCCTGTCAGTGTTTCTATTAGTAGTTATATCACAGTTTATAATAATCCTGTCAGTGTTTCTATTAGCAGTGATATCACAGTTTATAATAACCCTGTCAGTGTTTCTATTACCAGTGATATAGCCGTTTATAATAATCCTGTCAGTGATGTTACAGTTTATAATAATCCTGTCAGTGTTTCTATTAGTAGTGATATAGCGGTTTATAATAATCCTGACAGTGTTTCTATTAGCAGTGATATCACAGTTTATAATCGTGTCAGTGTTTCTATTAGCAGTGATATCACAGTTTATAATAACCCTGTCAGTGTTTCTATTAGTAGTGATATAGCAGTTTATAATAATCCTGTCAGTGTTTCTATTAGCAGTGATATCACAGTTCATAATAATCCTGTCAGTGTTTCTATTAGCAGTGATATAGCAGTTTATAATAATCCTGTCAGTGTTTCTATTAATAGTGATATCGCAGTTTATAATCCTGTCAGTGTTTCTATTAATAGCGATATTGCAGTTCATAATAATCCTGTAAGTGATGTCACAGTTTATAATAATCCTGTCAGTGTTTCAATTAGTAGTGATGTCACAGTTTATAATAATCCTGTCAGTGTTTCTATTAGTAGTGATATAGCAGTTTATAATAATCCTGTCAGTGTTTCTATTAGCAGTGATATAGCAGTTTATAATTATCCTGTCAGTGATGTCACAGTTTATAATAACCCTGTAAGTGATTTCACAGTTTATAATAATCCTGTCAGTGTTTCTATTAATAGTGATATCGCAGTTTATAATAATCCTGTCAGTGTTTCTATTAATAGCGATATTGCAGTTTATAATAATCCTGTAAGTGATGTCACAGTTTATAATAACCCTGTAAGTGATTTCACAGTTTATAATAATCCTGTCAGTGTTTCTATTAGTAGTGATATTGCAGTTTATAATAATCCTGTCAGTGTTTCTATTAGCAGCGATATCGCAGTTTATAATAATCATGTCAGTGATGTCAAAGTTTATAATAACCCTGTAAGTGATTTCACAGTTTATAATAATCCTGTCAGTGTTTCTATTAGTAGTGATATTGCAGTTTATAATAATCCTGTCAGTGTTTCTATTAATAGTGATATCGCAGTTTATAATAATCCTGTCAGTGTTTCTATTAATAGCGATATTGCAGTTTATAATAATCCTGTAAGTGATGTCACAGTTTATAATAATCCTGTCAGTGTTTCTATTAGCAGTGATATCGCAGTTCATAATAATCCTGTCAGTGTTTCTATTAGCAGTGATATCGCAGTTTATAATAATCCTGTCAGTGTTTCTATTAGCAGTGATATCACATTTTATAATAATCCTGTCAGTGTTTCTATTACTAGTGATATCGCAGTTTATAATAACCCTGTCAGTGTTTCTATTAGTAGTTATATAGCAGTTTATAATAATCCTGTCAGTGTTTCTATTAGTAGTTATATAGCAGTTTATAATAATCCTGTCAGTGATGTCACAGTTTATAATAACCCTGTCAGTGTTTCTATTAGTAGTTATATAGCAGTTTATAATAATCCTGTCAGTGTTTCTATTAGTAGTTATATAGCAGTTTATAATAACCCTGTCAGTGTTTCTATTAGTAGTTATATAGCAGTTTATAATAATCCTGTCAGTGTTTCTATTAGCAGTGATATAGCAGTTTATAATAATCCTGTCAGTGATGTCACAGTTTATAATAATCCTGTCAGTGTTTCTATTAGCAGCGATATCGCAGTTTATAATAATCCTGTCAGTGATGTCACAGTTTATAATAACCCTGTAAGTGATGTCACAGTTTATAATAACCCTGTCAGTGTTTCTATTAGTAGTGATATAGCAGTTTATAACAATCCTGTCAGTGTTTCTACTAGCAGTGATATCGCAGTTTATAATAATCCTGTAAGTGATGTCACAGTTTATAATAATCCTGTCAGTGTTTCTATTAGTAGTGATATCGCAGTTGATAATAACCCTGTCAGTGTTTCTATTAGTAGTGATATCGCAGTTTATAATAACCCTGTCAGTGTTTCTATTAGCAGCGATATCGCAGTTTATAATAACCCTGTCAGTGATGTCACAGTTTATAATAACTCTTTCAGTGATGTCACAGTTTATAATAACTCTGTCAGTGTTTCTATTAGTAGTGATATCACAGTTTATAATAATCCTCTCAGTGTTTCTATTAGTAGTGATATCGCAGTTGATAATAACCCTGTCAGTGTTTCTATTAGCAGCGATATCACAGTTTATAATAATCCTGCCAGTGATGTCACAGTTTATAATAACTCTTTCAGTGATGTCACAGTTTATAATAATCCTGTCAGTGTTTCTATTAGCAGTGATATAGCCGTTTATAATAATCCTGGCAGTGTTTCTATTAGCAGTGATATCACAGTTTATAATAACCCTGTCAGTGTTTCTATTAGCAGTGATATCACAGTTTATAATAATCCTGTCAGTGTTTCTATTAGTAGTGATATAGCAGTTTATAATAATCCTGGCAGTGTTTCTATTAGCAGTGATATCACAGTTTATAATAATCCTGTCAGTGGTGTCACAGTTTATAATAATCCTGTCAGTGTTTCTATTAGTAGTAATGTCACAGTTTATAATAATCCTGTCAGTGTTTCTATTAGTAGTGATATAGCAGTTTATAATAATCCTGTCAGTGTTTCTATTAGCAGTGATATAGTAGTTTATAATAATCCTGTCAGTGATGTCACAGTTTATAATAATCCTGTCAGAGTTTCTATTAGCAGCGATATCGCAATTTATAATAATTCTGTCAGTGTTTCTGTTAATAGCGATATTGCAGTTAATAATAATCCTGTCAGTGTTTTTATTAGTAGTGATATTGCAGTTTATAATAATCCTGTCAGTGTTTCTATTATCATTCATATCACAGTTTATAATAATCCTGTCAGTGTTTCTATTAGCAGTGATATCACAGTTTATAATAACCCTGTCAGTGTTTCTATTACCAGTGATATAGCCGTTTATAATAATCCTGTCAGTGATGTTACAGTTTATAATAATCCTGTCAGTGTTTCTATTAGTAGTGATATAGCGGTTTATAATAATCCTGTCAGTGTTTCTATTAGCAGTGATATCACAGTTTATAATAACCCTGTCAGTGTTTCTATTACCAGTGATATAGCCGTTTATAATAATCCTGTCAGTGATATAGCAGTTTATAATAATCCTGGCAGTGTTTCTATTAGCAGTGATATCACAGTTTATAATAACCCTGTCAGTGTTTCTATTAGTAGTGATGTCACAGTTTATAATAACCCTGTCAGTGTTTCTATTAGTAGTGATACAGCAGTTTATAATAATCCTGTCAGTGTTTCTATTAGTAGTGATATAGCAGTTTATAATAATCCTGTCAGTGATGTCACATTTTATAATAACCCTGTCAGTGTTTCTATTAGTAGTGATATAGTAGTTTATAATAACCCTGTCAGTGTTTCTATTAGTAGTGATATAGCAGTTTATAATAATCCTGTCAGTGATGTCACATTTTATAATAATCCTGTCAGTGTTTCTATTAGTAGTGATATAGCAGTTTATAATAATCCTGTCAGTGTTTCTATTAGTAGTGATGTCACCGTTTATAATAACCCTGTCAGTGTTTCTATTAGCAGTGATATCACAGTTTATAATAATCCTGTCAGTGTTTCTATTAGTAGTGATGTCACAGTTTATAATAACCCTGTCAGTGTTTCTATTAGTAGTGATATAGCAGTTTATAATAATCCTGTCAGTGTTTCTATTAGTAGTGATATAGCAGTTTATAATAATCCTGTCAGTGATGTCACATTTTATAATAACCCTGTCAGTGTTTCTATTAGTAGTGATATAGTAGTTTATAATAACCCTGTCAGTGTTTCTATTAGTAGTGATATAGCAGTTTATAATAATCCTGTCAGTGATGTCACATTTTATAATAATCCTGTCAGTGTTTCTATTAGTAGTGATATAGCAGTTTATAATAATCCTGTCAGTGTTTCTATTAGTAGTGATGTCACCGTTTATAATAACCCTGTCAGTGTTTCTATTAGCAGTGATATCACAGTTTATAATAATCCTGTCAGTGTTTCTATTAGTAGTGATGTCACCGTTTATAATAACCCTGTCAGTGTTTCTATTAGCAGTGATATCACAGTTTATAATAACCCTGTCAGTGTTTCTATTACCAGTGATATAGCAGTTTATAATAATCCTGTCAGTGATATAGCAGTTTATAATAATCCTGGCAGTGATATAGCAGTTTATAATAACCCTGTCAGTGTTTCTATTACCAGTGATATAGCAGTTTATAATAATCCTGTCAGTGATATAGCAGTTTATAATAATCCTGGCAGTGTTTCTATTAGCAGTGATATCACAGTTTATAATAATCCTGTCAGTGGTGTCACAGTTTATAATAATCCTGTCAGTGTTTCTATTAGTAGTGATGTCACAGTTTATAATAATCGTGTCAGTGTTTCTATTAGCAGTGATATCACAGTTTATAATAACCCTGTCAGTGTTTCTATTACCAGTGATATAGCAGTTTATAATAATCCTGTCAGTGATATAGCAGTTTATAATAATCCTGGCAGTGATATAGCAGTTTATAATAACCCTGTCAGTGTTTCTATTACCAGTGATATAGCAGTTTATAATAATCCTGTCAGTGATATAGCAGTTTATAATAATCCTGGCAGTGTTTCTATTAGCAGTGATATCACAGTTTATAATAATCCTGTCAGTGTTTCTATTAGCAGTGATATCACAGTTTATAATAATCCTGTCAGTGTTTCTATTAGCAGTGATATCACAGTTTATAATAACCCTGTCAGTGATGTCACAGTTTATAATAATCCTGTCAGTGTTTCTATTAGTAGTGATATTGCAGTTTATAATAATCCTGTCAGTGTTTCTATTAGCAGTGATATCACAGTTTATAATAATCCTGTCAGTGTTTCTATTAGCAGTGATATCATAGTTTATAATAATCCTGTCAGTGTTTCTATTAGCAGTGATGTCACAGTTTATAATAATCCTGTCAGTGTTTCTATTAGCAGTGATATCACATTTTATAATAATCCTGTCAGTGTTTCTATTACTAGTGATATCGCAGTTTATAATAACCCTGTCAGTGTTTCTATTAGTAGTTATATAGCAGTTTATAATAATCCTGTCAGTGTTTCTATTAGCAGTGATATCACAGTTTATAATAATCCTGTCAGTGTTTCTATTAGCAGTGATATCGCAGTTTATAATAATCCTGCCAGTGATGTCACAGTTTATAATAACCGTCAGTGATGTCACAGTTTATAATAACCCTGTCAGTGTTTCTATTAGTAGTGATATAGCAGTTTATAATAATCCTGTCAGTCTTTCTACTAGCAGTGATATCGCAGATGATAATAACCCTGTCAGTGTTTCTATTAGTAGTGATATCGCAGTTTATAATAACCCTGTCAGTGTTTCTATTAGCAGCGATATCGCAGTTTATAATAACCCTGTCAGTGTTTCTATTAGCAGTGATATCACAGTTTATAATAATCCTGTCAGTGATGTCACCGTTTATAATAACTCTTTCAGTGATGTCACAGTTTATAATAACCCTGTCAGTGTTTCTATTAGTAGTTATATCACAGTTTATAATAATCCTGTCAGTGTTTCTATTAGCAGTGATATCACAGTTTATAATAACCCTGTCAGTGTTTCTATTACCAGTGATATAGCCGTTTATAATAATCCTGTCAGTGATGTTACAGTTTATAATAATCCTGTCAGTGTTTCTATTAGTAGTGATATAGCGGTTTATAATAATCCTGACAGTGTTTCTATTAGCAGTGATATCACAGTTTATAATAATCGTGTCAGTGTTTCTATTAGCAGTGATATCACAGTTTATAATAACCCTGTCAGTGTTTCTATTAGTAGTGATATAGCAGTTTATAATAATCCTGTCAGTGTTTCTATTAGCAGTGATATCACAGTTCATAATAATCCTGTCAGTGTTTCTATTAGCAGTGATATAGCAGTTTATAATAATCCTGTCAGTGTTTCTATTAATAGTGATATCGCAGTTTATAATCCTGTCAGTGTTTCTATTAATAGCGATATTGCAGTTCATAATAATCCTGTAAGTGATGTCACAGTTTATAATAATCCGGTCAGTGTTTCAATTAGTAGTGATGTCACAGTTTATAATAATCCTGTCAGTGTTTCTATTAGTAGTGATATAGCAGTTTATAATAATCCTGTCAGTGTTTCTATTAGCAGTGATATAGCAGTTTATAATTATCCTGTCAGTGATGTCACAGTTTATAATAACCCTGTAAGTGATTTCACAGTTTATAATAATCCTGTCAGTGTTTCTATTAATAGTGATATCGCAGTTTATAATAATCCTGTCAGTGTTTCTATTAATAGCGATATTGCAGTTTATAATAATCCTGTAAGTGATGTCACAGTTTATAATAACCCTGTAAGTGATTTCACAGTTTATAATAATCCTGTCAGTGTTTCTATTAGTAGTGATATTGCAGTTTATAATAATCCTGTCAGTGTTTCTATTAGCAGCGATATCGCAGTTTATAATAATCATGTCAGTGATGTCACAGTTTATAATAACCCTGTAAGTGATTTCACAGTTTATAATAATCCTGTCAGTGTTTCTATTAGTAGTGATATTGCAGTTTATAATAATCCTGTCAGTGTTTCTATTAATAGTGATATCGCAGTTTATAATAATCCTGTCAGTGTTTCTATTAATAGCGATATTGCAGTTTATAATAATCCTGTAAGTGATGTCACAGTTTATAATAATCCTGTCAGTGTTTCTATTAGCAGTGATATCGCAGTTCATAATAATCCTGTCAGTGTTTCTATTAGCAGTGATATCGCAGTTTATAATAATCCTGTCAGTGTTTCTATTAGCAGTGATATCACATTTTATAATAATCCTGTCAGTGTTTCTATTACTAGTGATATCGCAGTTTATAATAACCCTGTCAGTGTTTCTATTAGTAGTTATATAGCAGTTTATAATAATCCTGTCAGTGTTTCTATTAGTAGTTATATAGCAGTTTATAATAATCCTGTCAGTGATGTCACAGTTTATAATAACCCTGTCAGTGTTTCTATTAGTAGTTATATAGCAGTTTATAATAATCCTGTCAGTGTTTCTATTAGTAGTTATATAGCAGTTTATAATAACCCTGTCAGTGTTTCTATTAGTAGTTATATAGCAGTTTATAATAATCCTGTCAGTGTTTCTATTAGCAGTGATATAGCAGTTTATAATAATCCTGTCAGTGATGTCACAGTTTATAATAATCCTGTCAGTGTTTCTATTAGCAGTGATATCGCAGTTTATAATAATCCTGTCAGTGATGTCACAGTTTATAATAACCCTGTAAGTGATGTCACAGTTTATAATAACCCTGTCAGTGTTTCTATTAGTAGTGATATAGCAGTTTATAACAATCCTGTCAGTGTTTCTACTACCAGTGATATCGCAGTTTATAATAATCCTGTAAGTGATGTCACAGTTTATAATAATCCTGTCAGTGTTTCTATTAGTAGTGATATCGCAGTTGATAATAACCCTGTCAGTGTTTCTATTAGTAGTGATATCGCAGTTTATAATAACCCTGTCAGTGTTTCTATTAGCAGCGATATCGCAGTTTATAATAACCCTGTCAGTGATGTCACAGTTTATAATAACTCTTTCAGTGATGTCACAGTTTATAATAACTCTGTCAGTGTTTCTATTAGTAGTGATATCACAGTTTATAATAATCCTCTCAGTGTTTCTATTAGTAGTGATATCGCAGTTGATAATAACCCTGTCAGTGTTTCTATTAGCAGCGATATCACAGTTTATAATAATCCTGCCAGTGATGTCACAGTTTATAATAACTCTTTCAGTGATGTCACAGTTTATAATAATCCTGTCAGTGTTTCTATTAGCAGTGATATAGCCGTTTATAATAATCCTGGCAGTGTTTCTATTAGCAGTGATATCACAGTTTATAATAACCCTGTCAGTGTTTCTATTAGCAGTGATATCACAGTTTATAATAATCCTGTCAGTGTTTCTATTAGCAGTGATATCACAGTTTATAATAATCCTGTCAGTGGTGTCACAGTTTATAATAATCCTGTCAGTGTTTCTATTAGTAGTAATGTCACAGTTTATAATAATCCTGTCAGTGTTTCTATTAGTAGTGATATAGCAGTTTATAATAATCCTGTCAGTGTTTCTATTAGCAGTGATATAGTAGTTTATAATAATCCTGTCAGTGATGTCACAGTTTATAATAATCCTGTCAGAGTTTCTATTAGCAGCGATATCGCAATTTATAATAATTCTGTCAGTGTTTCTGTTAATAGCGATATTGCAGTTAATAATAATCCTGTCAGTGTTTTTATTAGTAGTGATATTGCAGTTTATAATAATCCTGTCAGTGTTTCTATTATCATTCATATCACAGTTTACAATAATCCTGTCAGTGTTTCTATTAGCAGTGATATCACAGTTTATAATAACCCTGTCAGTGTTTCTATTACCAGTGATATAGCCGTTTATAATAATCCTGTCAGTGATGTTACAGTTTATAATAATCCTGTCAGTGTTTCTATTAGTAGTGATATAGCGGTTTATAATAATCCTGTCAGTGTTTCTATTAGCAGTGATATCACAGTTTATAATAACCCTGTCAGTGTTTCTATTACCAGTGATATAGCCGTTTATAATAATCCTGTCAGTGATATAGCAGTTTATAATAATCCTGGCAGTGTTTCTATTAGCAGTGATATCACAGTTTATAATAACCCTGTCAGTGTTTCTATTAGTAGTGATGTCACAGTTTATAATAACCCTGTCAGTGTTTCTATTAGTAGTGATACAGCAGTTTATAATAATCCTGTCAGTGTTTCTATTAGTAGTGATATAGCAGTTTATAATAATCCTGTCAGTGATGTCACATTTTATAATAACCCTGTCAGTGTTTCTATTAGTAGTGATATAGTAGTTTATAATAACCCTGTCAGTGTTTCTATTAGTAGTGATATAGCAGTTTATAATAATCCTGTCAGTGATGTCACATTTTATAATAATCCTGTCAGTGTTTCTATTAGTAGTGATATAGCAGTTTATAATAATCCTGTCAGTGTTTCTATTAGTAGTGATGTCACCGTTTATAATAACCCTGTCAGTGTTTCTATTAGCAGTGATATCACAGTTTATAATAATCCTGTCAGTGTTTCTATTAGTAGTGATGTCACAGTTTATAATAACCCTGTCAGTGTTTCTATTAGTAGTGATATAGCAGTTTATAATAATCCTGTCAGTGTTTCTATTAGTAGTGATATAGCAGTTTATAATAATCCTGTCAGTGATGTCACATTTTATAATAACCCTGTCAGTGTTTCTATTAGTAGTGATATAGTAGTTTATAATAACCCTGTCAGTGTTTCTATTAGTAGTGATATAGCAGTTTATAATAATCCTGTCAGTGATGTCACATTTTATAATAATCCTGTCAGTGTTTCTATTAGTAGTGATATAGCAGTTTATAATAATCCTGTCAGTGTTTCTATTAGTAGTGATGTCACCGTTTATAATAACCCTGTCAGTGTTTCTATTAGCAGTGATATCACAGTTTATAATAACCCTGTCAGTGTTTCTATTACCAGTGATATAGCAGTTTATAATAATCCTGTCAGTGATATAGCAGTTTATAATAATCCTGGCAGTGATATAGCAGTTTATAATAACCCTGTCAGTGTTTCTATTACCAGTGATATAGCAGTTTATAATAATCCTGGCAGTGATATAGCAGTTTATAATAATCCTGGCAGTGTTTCTATTAGCAGTGATATCACAGTTTATAATAATCCTGTCAGTGTTTCTATTAGCAGTGATATCACAGTTTATAATAACCCTGTCAGTGTTTCTATTACCAGTGATATAGCAGTTTATAATAATCCTGTCAGTGATATAGCAGTTTATAATAATCCTGGCAGTGATATAGCAGTTTATAATAACCCTGTCAGTGTTTCTATTACCAGTGATATAGCAGTTTATAATAATCCTGTCAGTGATATAGCAGTTTATAATAACCCTGTCAGTGTTTCTATTACCAGTGATATAGCAGTTTATAATAATCCTGGCAGTGTTTCTATTAGCAGTGATATCACAGTTTATAATAATCCTGTCAGTGGTGTCACAGTTTATAATAATCCTGTCAGTGTTTCTATTACCAGTGATATAGCAGTTTATAATAATCCTGTCAGTGTTTCTATTAGCAGTGATATCACAGTTTATAATAATCCTGGCAGTGTTTCTATTAGCAGTGATATCACAGTTTATAATAATCCTGTCAGTGGTGTCACAGTTTATAATAATCCTGTCAGTGTTTCTATTAGTAGTAATGTCACAGTTTATAATAATCCTGTCAGTGTTTCTATTAGTAGTGATGTCACAGTTTATAATAATCCTGTCAGTGTTTCTATTAGTAGTGATGTCACAGTTTATAATAATCCTGGCAGTGTTTCTATTAGCAGTGATATCGTCGTTTATAATAATCCTGTCAGTGTTTCTATTAGCAGTGATATCACATTTTATAATAATCCTGTCAGTGTTTCTATTACTAGTGATATCGCAGTTTATAATAACCCTGTCAGTGTTTCTATTAGTAGTTATATAGCAGTTTATAATAATCCTGTCAGTGATGTCACAGTTTATAATAACCCTGTCAGTGTTTCTATTAGTAGTTATATAGCAGTTTATAATAATCCTGTCAGTGTTTCTATTAGCAGTGATATAGCAGTTTATAATAATCCTGTCAGTGTTTCTATTAGCAGTGATATAGCAGTTTATAATAATCCTGTCAGTGATGTCACAGTTAATAATAATCCTGTCAGTGATGTCACAGTGTATAATTACCCTGTCAGTGATGTCACAGTTTATAATAACTCTGTCAGTGATGTCACAGTTTATAATAACTCTGTCAGTGATGTCACAGTTTATAATAACTCTGTCAGTGATGTCACGTGTTATAATATCCCCCCTGGCTGTGGTTATGGTTGTCTGGGAGGAAGTTATACCATGAGTTCTGTAGCCCCGCCCAGCCGTTACGCAGGTGGTTCCGAGTCATGTGACTGATGACGTGTTTGGCAGTTCTGTCAGAGTGCATGCGGCGGCCATGTTTGTGGAGCCCGTGTTTGTGGCTCTGTGTGGGAAGACTGTCCGTTCCTGTGTCTGTAGACCGGGTTTCGGGGTATAACAGCGGCCGGTGCTCCCGGTGGACACGGACGGTCAGTTATGGCTGTCTGTATTGGTATTGGTGTCTCCAGGCTCCAGCATCATGGCCGCCGTGCGGAGGGCGGAGTCACAGTGCGGAAGTAGTGGGCGGGGCTCAGGCTGTTTATCTGCCTCCGTCACAGGAACCGACAGGGAAACACCGACAGCAGCTCCTCCTCCTCCTCCCCGGTCACCTACCGACAGCAGCTCCTCCTCCTCCTCCTCCCCGGTCACCTACCGACAGCTCCTCCTCCTCCTCCTCCCCGGTCACCTACCGGCCCCAGGTCTCGGCAGTGACAGGAGCAGAGCCGGTCTGAGACAGACAGACAGCCAGCCATGAAGTTTGTCTATAAGGAAGAACATGCGTTCGAGAAACGGCGATCAGAGGGCGAGAAAATCCGCAAGAAATACCCAGACAGAGTCCCTGTAATTTTATTATTATTATTTATTATTATTACACTGTGATATATATATATATATATAATATATATACTGTGTGATATATATATAATATATATACTGTGTGATATATATAATATATATACTGTGTGATATATATAATATATATACTGTGTGATATATATAATATATATACTGTGTGATATATATATAATATATATACTGTGTGATATATATATAATATATATACCGTGTGATATATATATAATATATATACTGTGTGATATATATAATATATATACTGTGTGATATATATAATATATATACTGTGTGATATATATATAATATATATACTGTGTGATATATATATAATATATATACCGTGTGATATATATATAATATATATACTGTGTGATATATATATAATATATATACCGTGTGATATATATATAATATATATACCGTGTGATATATATATAATATATATACCGTGTGATATATATATAATATATATACCGTGTGATATATATATAATATATATACCGTGTGATATATATATAATATATATACCGTGTGATATATATATAATATATATACCGTGTGATATATATATAATATATATACCGTGTGATATATATATAATATATATACTGTGTGATATATATATAATATATATAGGTGTGATATATATATAATATATAGCAAATTGTGATATATATATGTATATATAGGTGTGATATATATATAATGTATATACCATTAATGATATATATATAATATATATATCGTGTGATATATATATATAATATATATACCGTGTGATATATATATAATATATATACCGTGTGATATATATATAATATATATACCGTGTGATATATATATAATATATATACCGTGTGATATATATATATATATAATATATATATATACTGTGTGATATATATATAATATATATACCGTGTGATATATATATATAATATATATACCGTGTGATATATATATAATATATATACCGTGTGATATATATATAATATATATACCGTGTGATATATATATAATATATATACCGTGTGATATATATATAATATATATACTGTGTGATATATATATATATAATATATATACTGTGTGATATATATATATATATATATAATATATATACTGTGTGATATATATATAATATATATACTGTGTGATATATATAATATATATACTGTGTGATATATATAATATATATACTGTGTGATATATATAATATATATACTGTGTGATATATATATAATATATATACTGTGTGATATATATATAATATATATACTGTGTGATATATATATATATATAATATATATATATACTGTGTGATATATATATAATATATATACCGTGTGATATATATATATAATATATATACCGTGTGATATATATATAATATATATACCGTGTGATATATATATAATATATATACCGTGTGATATATATATAATATATATACCGTGTGATATATATATAATATATATACTGTGTGATATATATATAATATATATACTGTGTGATATATATATAATATATATACTGTGTGATATATATATAATATATATACTGTGTGATATATATATAATATATATACCGTGTGATATATATATAATATATATACCGTGTGATATATATATAATATATATACCGTGTGATATATATATAATATATATACCGTGTGATATATATATAATATATATACCGTGTGATATATATATAATATATATACCGTGTGATATATATATAATATATATACCGTGTGATATATATATATATATAATATATATATATACTGTGTGATATATATATAATATATATACCGTGTGATATATATATATAATATATATACCGTGTGATATATATATAATATATATACCGTGTGATATATATATAATATATATACCGTGTGATATATATATAATATATATACTGTGTGATATATATATAATATATATACTGTGTGATATATATATATATATAATATATATATATACTGTGTGATATATATATAATATATATACCGTGTGATATATATATATAATATATATACCGTGTGATATATATATAATATATATACCGTGTGATATATATATAATATATATACCGTGTGATATATATATAATATATATACAGTGTGATATATATATAATATATATACCGTGTGATATATATATAATATATATACCGTGTGATATATATATAATATATATACCGTGTGATATATATATAATATATATACTGTGTGATATATATATATATATAATATATATACTGTGTGATATATATATATATATATATATAATATATATACTGTGTGATATATATATAATATATATACTGTGTGATATATATATAATATATATACCGTGTGATATATATATAATATATATACTGTGTGATATATATATAATATATATACCGTGTGATATATATATAATATATATACTGTGTGATATATATATATATAATATATATACTGTGTGATATATATATATATATATATAATATATATATACTGTGTGATATATATATAATATATATACTGTGTGATATATATATAATATATATACCGTGTGATATATATATAATATATATACCGTGTGATATATATATAATATATATACTGTGTGATATATATATAATATATATACCGTGTGATATATATATAAT